TGTTGCTGTCGGTGTTGTTGTTGTTGTTGTTGTTGCTGTTGTTGTTGTTGTTGTTGTTGTTGTTGTTGTTGTTGTTGTTGTTGTTGTTGTTGTTGTTGTTGGTGTTGTTGTTGTTGTTGTTGTTGTCCTTGTTGTCGGTCGTCACCCATCGTCCTCGACAACGTCACGTTCAATGTCCAACGGCTGACGGTCTGGATAGGTGTGGATGTTCGTGCAGGTGTTGGTGTTGCAGCTGTCTCCTAGCATTCGAGCAAACAAGGTCTAAATACAAGTGCATTCCTGCAGCCGCCTCAAATGGCGAGGCATTCTTCGACCCGTGCACCACTCCTGCAGCAGTGCTGGGACATGAAGATACACCGGAAAAGGATGATTGTGCACCTTGATTTCATTCAAGCGCTTGTTGGTCTCGTTCGAGCGAGGGTTCGCAGACTCCAGCAGAGATGTGACCTGTGGGACCCGTGAGAGCCAGAGCAGGCCGCGACGGGGGCTCTAGGGCTCCGGCTGAGGAGAGTATGAAGCCGAAGGCCGTCGCGCCAAAGAGCTGAAGAACGATGCAGAAGAGTCGCTCATCCTGAGACACGCAAGTGTTACTGATGTCAATGCCTTCGCGACAGAAACTCTGCCGGGGTGACCGTGTTCTTCGCCCAGATATCACCGTATCCGACTGCCATCATAGTGGCGGTGATGAAGTGGAAGGAGGCGATGTACCTATGTTCGATACTGTTGGAGGGAATCTGCGAAAGCTCGGCATGTCGCACTTGGAGACCAGTCCAAACTGATCCACGTTGTAGACCCTGCAAATCAATATAAATCAATATCACAAGTCAAGCTCTTCCTCCACACACCCAAAAGCAATGCTGCTGGATGTCCTCCGAACATACTGCTGCCAAGCGGAACTTGCGGGCGCATGCTTCTCAACATACCATGGAAAACTCTATCTCTGCAAATCCCACAACATGCAGAAAATCAGAAAGTTACACTGACATCAGATTTGATTGCATCAAAAAGGGGGCACCATGGGGCACCGCAACGCATGGGCGCTTGCAGGAGCAGACGAAATCTCTTTGCCTTCTGCAGAGGTCTCGTGCGCTAAAGCTGAGCATTTGCTATGTTCAGATTTTCTAGACCTACCGGCAGAGCATCCAGTTGGGATAAGCTTCGGCAGATCCAAATTGACCTCCACCACGCTTGATGGCGATTTTGACAAAGCAGTGGTTCAACCCTGCTCTTCTCGGCACACCAGCAGCCCTGTGCAACACCTCTGTTGCACTTGGCACACTGGTACACAGACTCTGCCCTTTCAAGCCTCGGCAGCTATGATCAGCTTGTGCTTGAAAGGGAGCATGTATGAAAACCCGTGACAAACACCATTTTTTGCTGAAACACCACGCTGTGCACAGTCCTTGTCAAGGGCGCTTGATATTTGTTGTTGTCAAACCCCAGCTGGCCAGTCCAAGTTGGATCGCTTCAAACCATTTGCATCTCGAGACTCTAGCCAGAGGACACAGCTTCAAACTTCGTATCTGTTCACAAGAAGACCCAATAGTCATGTCCGCAAAACTATCATGCGTACTAAAGCAACCGCTGAGCTACTTCAAAGCATGCGCTGCCGAGGCAGTTGTGAAACGTGAAATCAATCTGTCAACCAGACTCACCAAGTCGCAAAGGAGCCAAGTCCTCTGCGAAGTGATTACATTTTACATTGCGGCTCACAACCAACACTTCCACGCGTTGATTTGAGATCCCGTTGCAGCAGACTCTACAATCCTCCTTTGTAGCAAACTTGACGATCAATTGATCCAAGAAAGCCGCATTGGAGAGAACGCAGCCTGTGGGAAGGCTCGATGAAGCGAATCTGGGACACTGAAATGAAATGCTCCGCCTCGCTTTTCCGCTGCCAGCTTCACAGCATCCTGCAAACACCCCGCGGCAGAAAGGTAGACAGCTGTCCACTAAACCAGAGTCCGCCTTCAAGGACATACCCATGGCACCAGCAAGGAATGCAACAGCTGCCTCGAATGTCACAAAGAATTGATTCAGCGTTTGTAGGGTTTGGAATGACCGTGTTCAGCCTCGGGCCAGCGTGAAGCTAAGGAAAAGGGTCCAAGCTCAAAAGCTAAGTCGAAAGAAGATTTCTCGCCAGGCATACGCTATATGAGCACGGCCACCCAAACAGATCGATTGATGCCCATGATGCAGTGCACGAGGACCTGTCAGAGGAAAGTTCTGCCACAGGCAAAAGCTTGTTAGGTCCCAGCTGCCCGAGGTCGGCCTTCCGTCCGTCTCGCCTGCACTCGGTGAGAAAGTCCAGGATCTGTCAACAAGCCACATGGAGGCTGACAAATACTCCTGGACAGAAGAAGACCAAGTAAAGAAAGAAACCACGTGCTGTGGAAACAAAGCAAGCTTTTCTCTCAGCGGCAGCTGCAAAGTCCATCGCACATCGAGAGCTTAGAGTGCAGCACATTCAAAGGGGCTCACTATTCGCATAGCCACTGCCACGTCTCTCCATTGTCAAGTCATAAACATACTGCAAACGGGACGATCCAAAGGCCACTTTGGCCGTCCTGGTCAGGGACAGCACTTTGCACCACATAGTAGCCAAACAAAGCGTTAACTCCCTTCTCTTCTCAGATCATGATAGGCATCGTGTTAGAAGTCAGCGGGTGATCGCCTGAAAGGGTAGGTGTACGGCCGCTTGCTATCCAGAGTGCGGGCGTAGATAAGCGATCCGCGTGTCCAACAATCGATTCCGTTTACATTGACCTTGGCATGAAACTTGATGCATGCTGACTCATGCAAGCTTCATGCACAGGACCCAATCACAGCTTCACAATCAGAGCCCGACAGGTGCGCGGAGCGGCTCCGATTCGTCGGTGAGCTTGCTGCAGTTTGAACCGCTGAGTTTCAACCGATGGAGCAGCATGCCTAAGAAAAGTGTTCGCCCGTGCAGACAGTAGCCATACGCGACGACTCGGTGTCGCCAAAAAGTAACCCCGGGTCCAAAAGAACTTTCGATAAACAACACAGGTTGCATTCTCAGGAAGGCTGCACAGCATGTTTTCCGACCATATCGTCCCATTCTTAAAAATTTGTGTGTGTGTGTGTGTGTGTGTGTGTGTGTGTGTGTGTGTGTGTGTGTGTGTGTGTGTGGGTGGAAGTCCTGTTCCTAAGGATTCTGAGTTGTAACGAGCGTT